GAAAATCAGGGCAGAATGGTTTATTATTACAATCAAATCTCGAATACAGTTGCAAGCTCAACAAATCAGATTTTAGTGCAGCACAGCAGATCAAACAATACAACATACACAATTTACTCAAACTGTCAACAATGGAAAAAATTCATCATGGTATTACAAGCTCTGTTGCTTGATTGAACAACTAAATAGGATTTGGGCCGATGTTGTTGAAGCACGTTGAAAAAATCAAAGCGAGAAACAAAAGCCAATGGGAAATTCAACAACAAAGCATTACAAAGTGCTTTTAATGACAGCAGAAAAGGAGAGAAAGCAAAAACAATATAAAATAAATAAAATACTTGACAAATTTTTTTTTACACGCACTTGTACACAAAATGTTGTTGTGGCTGTTTGCACAACAATGGCAGCCACAGCAACAACAATAACAACAAATGTGGCAGCTAACAAGTCGAGCAGAGATAATAAAGCAGCAGCAGCGACAACAATAACAAATAACAAACACAAACGATAGCGGACAAAAACCCAAAAAACAACAACAAATAGCTGCGTCATTGTTTCGAGAGCGCCTAAAAATATGCAGCAGCAAATTTTATGCGAGGAATAGTGTGAGGCAGCCGAGACTCAAACCAGATCCTCCAAGAACCGAAATTAAAACAATCAACACGTTGTGGAAGGGGGAGGGTGGAGAGCAAGCAGCAGAGCAGCGCACATAATTAAGTGAAATTAGTGAGTTGGTAGAACGAAATAATGTAAATTACAATAGATGCAAATTAAGTTTAAAAAAAGTACAGAAAACTTGAAACAAAAGCAAAGAAGTGGCAAGTGGAAGGAGAGTGCAGATCAGCTGTAGCCAAGACACAGAGCAAGGAGCACAGAATAGGGGGAATAGGCGCAGGTACAAGCTAAACCGATCTGCTACAGTCAAGACGCAAACCAAAGGGCAGACTCATTAATGTGAACAGGAGATGATTTGTCAAGCAAGTCAAAAGAGAAAAAAAAATAAATTAATTAAAAAATAAAAAACTGAATTAAAAACAATTTGTGTAAAAAATATATTTATGTTGAATACGAAAACAAATTCTTAAATTGAGCAGCTCTAACATATATGTGGAATTGAGATCAGCAGCAAGAACTCAAACCAAACTGCAACCTTTGATGATAGCGAACTATATAAGATTTTGAATATATGTATGTAAATGATTAGAAAATAATAATACAAATGGAAAATAACTAAATAAGCAAAAGTATTAAACTACATTGCTTGAATTGAGCAGGTTAAATATGAAAAGTGAGAACCAGAACAGATCAGCAACAGCAGAGGCTCAAACCAAACTAAGATAAGGAACAGTGAAAAGGACAAGAAGACGAAATGAATGCAAAAATAAGGTAAACGAATTACAAAAAAGTGAATATTAAAATATTTAGATAATTAACAAACATTTTATTTTAAATGAGCAGTCGAAATCTGAAGAATTTGTTTACATAGAACAAATTGGATCACAAACAGTCGAGACTCAAACCGAAATTGCTAGAGCAAGCACAAAAAAGATTTTAAAGAACAGAGAACACGCACAACAGACAGATCATAATTACATCAAAGTAAATTTAAGTATACAACAATATTAAAAAAAAAACAAGTATTTTTTTATTATATTAGAGACTGTTACTTTTCCACGTTTTTTTTGTTCCTATTGTCGCGCTTTTATTTTAATTAACCGCAACCGCAGCAGTTCGAAACTTTTCACAAGGAACAGCAACAATAACAACAATAGCAACAACAGCAGCAACAACAACAAACAAAATGCTTGATAAATGTTTGTGGCACGCAAATCGCATTTATTTTTGTTTTGTTTTGCTTGTTTTTTTTTTTTTTTCTGTATATAAATATATTTTAAATTCGTGTTTCTCAAATTTATTGAAGCACACCTAAAACTTGCACTTTATTTTCTCTGTTTGCTTTCAATTTGATTTTATTGCACAAATTTTTTATTTTATTTTTTAATGGAACTAACACGAAACAACTTTTAAAGCCCGCACACGACACTTGTCCATTCAAATGCAGAAGTATTGCTGCCAGTGTGTGTGAGTGCTTGTGTGTGTGTGTGTGTCAGTGTGTATGTGTGCGTGCCTCTGGTTTCTGGTTTCGGTTTTTCAGTTCTGGTTCAATTCGAATGCCAAAGAGTAGCGCGCGCGCGATTCAAACGACGTGCGTTCGGACTGGAGTGCAAATCATAACTAAAAAAAATTTTCAACTTCTTGTGCAAGTTTGTGGTGCGCCATCCAGCGGTCAAAGCCGGAACTATGCCTGCCACTGCAATCCTTGCGCATGCCTGAGACACGCACGCCAAGCCGACGAGCCTCAAGTGAGACGAGCCAACATACACGAGCGAATGAGAGAGAGAGAGAGAGAGAGAGAGAGCAACAGAAACGAGCAGTTGTTATTCTCTCAGCTATGAACGTGTTTCATTGCCCAGGCGTTTCGCTTCAGCGTTAACAGAAAGCTTTGCGCTGTTAAAATAATGGGATTTTTCGTTTGACTTGGGCGCCATTTCATTTGAATTGTGTTTTTGGGATCGCAGAAAATATTAATAGAAGGTAATTTATTAGTCAATTCACATTAATTCAGCTTAATGAATTGATTTATCAAATGAATTTTAAATATGTTCAAATAGCTTTCTAATTAAAATCTTAAACTAATTTAGCCTTTGCCACTATCTATCTAAGTTCTCAAGTCGAACAAAATAAAATCTCTCACCTTCTTGAGTGCCGCACATTAATCATACAGCAGCGTGGCACATGTGCTCAGCTCTTCTGAGCTAACGAAACAATTTCTATGTGAGACAATTGTGAATGTGTAACGAGCGCTCGTTGATCCTTGGCGCACAATTAAAAGCTATTAAAGAAGAGGTGAAAATTCAATGAAATTATATGTGAATTCTTTGCAATCTGCTGGTGGGCAAAGCCACATGCAAATAAATATGATAAATCATCACAATATTTAATGAACCAACAAGC